AGAGACATAAAAAAAAAAAAAAAATTAAAAAAAAAAATAAAAAAAAAAAGGTGGCAAACACTAACACATTCCAAAAAGAATAATAGAGATGATTCACCAATTTCAGTTGTAAGAAGTTGATATTCTGGAAGGAAACCAGGGAAAAGTGATACAGGTGGGATACTTGTCAGAGGCCAAAGGTCTGTGTAGGAAGGGATAACAGTTGCAGGTGGTATTGGGATGAAGACCCTTCTGTAGAGGAATAGATCAGGGCAGGAGATGCAGAACTGGCAGAAAAAATCTGGACATATTGAGAAGTGCAAAGTCACAGGTTGTTTGTTTGTTAGGAAGGGGATCAATGGGTGAAAGAAGGAAGCTTCAGAAAAATGGAGGACACAAATAAGAGGACACATGATTCTCTTGCAGTATTGGGGATGGGGGGGTGTGAGCTCCTTGGCAAGAAGAAGGGTGTGAGCTGTTTCAGAACTGTCTTGTTACAGTAATGGAACAAAAGGACACGTAGTGGGAAATCACCTGAACTAATACAAAAATGACAGAAAAACGGTTACATTGAGATTGGCAAACGGGCTGGGCAGACAGACAGCAGGCAGGAAACAAAAGGATTGCCAGAGAGGAGATGAGTACAGCAACAGTGTGCTGGGAGGAGCCCTGAGAGATCGATTTGCTTCAAAGCACCCCAGTACCTTCCTGCAGATAACAACGCCCATGACATCTGGAAGGTGACACTTCATGCAAAGACTATGCTTAACCAGTCCCAGGACAACGGAATGGCCTGGGACAAGCAACTGGAATGGGAGTACACAAATGCCAAGAGCCTGGGCAACACAGCACAGGAACCTGACCAACTGGTGCATGTTGTTAGACCAGATGCTGCAAGCATTCAAGAAAGAGGGTAGAATGGGAACTGTGACTGGAAAACAGGTGTTTTAGGGAATGTATTAGCCAAGAAAGAGAAAAATAAAAGGTAATGGTTGTACAGTGGCAATTAGTGACAAGCAGCTTCATAAACAAATGAATAAATGCAACAAGGGTTAGCCAGTAACCCAAAAGACATAATGGGAATTCAGAATACTTTCAGGGTACAGTTTCACTTTTGAAAGGGATTACTGTACATAATGCAGCCTGCTGTAGCAATAATTTGGGGACTCTCATGCTCCTAGATGGACAGAGACATAGGATGAAACAATGAGGCAGAAGAGAGAAGAAAAAAGTGCATAAGCCAGAATACAACATATCACTAGTAAAGGAACAGGTGTCCATCCAAAAATCATTCTCACAAAGACAAGGGCTGCATCTCAAAAGCCAAGCTGGCACTGAGAAAGAAACTGCCTAGGAAAGAAGATTAAGTTTCACTGAAAGACAAGCAGCCAGCCAAGCCAGAACTCTCTGTCTGGCATGCTCCACTGTGAAGTAATTTCAGAAACGTTCTGGACTTTTGTACTAAAGTATAAATGTTTTTTCTAAGAAGTTGCAGTAAACTAAGACCTGAAAGGGAAACTGCACAAAGAAATCCTATGCCATTGAATCTTTCTGCTCCAGGCTAAGCAGAGATCACTAAGCAAACTCCCTGTGTGAGGACCAACTCACTCCTCAGATGCTGAGTACAGATCACCTGCAGCCACTACTGAGGACAAACACCCCAGACCTTCACTTCACAAATGTTTTACTCCATGCATCAAAAGCTGGAAGACAAATGCACAAAGAAAACCAGGTGCTCTAAACCTCGGACAAACAGGGTACAATTATCTGTTTACTGATACTGGATTCACATGAAAAAATTCAGCTACTGCTTTTAAAAACTGGAGGGATTAATTTGATATTTGAAGCCCTTAAATTGCAGTCTCTGCTACCAGTGAATGTAAATTTTGAAATCTTGGACCAGAGAGAGTGACAATTACTCGAGCCATCATGTGTCATGTTGGAATTTGGTAGCAGCCCCGACAAGGAGAACCAGGCTGCACCAAACCACAGTAGGGCAGGAAGAGGACGCCAGGCACTATGGAGACAAGTCAGTGGCTGAGAGGATCCCCAGCAGTGGTGAAACACACCTGCTCCCTTCCTGACAAACAAATGTGTTTGTGCTAATAAAAGGTGGTGCAAGCTGTGAACCTGCAGCAGTATAAGAAATAGTGATGAAGAAACACATAAGGCACACCTTCATCGAAATGTCCTGCACACAGCTGAACAACCAGCTGACATGATGGGTGAGCAGCTGGCTCACAAGTCAGGTGCAGAGTTATAGTGAATGGGGTGACATCAGGCTGGCAACCTGTCACTAGTGGGGTTCCACAAGGCTCCATCCTTGGAGCAGTTATTTTCAAAGTTTTCATTAAAGACTTGGACATGAGACTCAAAGACATACTAAGTAAATTTGCTGACAACACAAAATTGGGAGGAGCTGTCAATTCCTTTGAGAGCAAAGAGGCCCTGCAGAGGGACGTTGACAAATTAAGAGAAATGGGCAATCACCAATCATATGAAGTTCAACAAAGGCAAGTGCAGGATTCTGCATGTGGGATGGGGCAATCCTGGATGTATGGACAGCCTGGAGAACGAGAGACTGGAGAGCAGTGCCACAGAAAGGACCAGGGGATCCTGGTCAGTGGAAAGTTGAATGTGAGTCAGCAGTGCCCTAGCAGCCAGGAGGGCCACCCTGTCCTGGGGGCATCAGGCACAGCAAGGCCAGCCAAGCACGGGAGGGGATTGTCCTGCTCTGCTCTGCACTGGGGCAGCCTCACCTCGAGTATTGTGTAACATTTTGATCATCGCAGTATAAGGAAGATATAAACCTCTTAGAGAGTGTCCAAAGGAGGGCCATCAGAATAGTGAAAGGCCTTGAGGGGAAACTTTATTAGGAGCAGCTGAGAAGAAAGGAGGAGATTGAGGTGAGACCTCATGACTGTCCTCAACATCCTCACAAGGAGCAAGTACATATCTCTTCATTCTTGTGACCAGTGACAAGAACTTGAGGAAACAGCATGAAGAACTTGAGGAAACAGCATGAAGCTGAGTCAGGAGAGGTCTGTTAGATATCAAGACAAGGTTTTTCACCCAGACGGCACTGGAACAGGATCCCCAGGGAAGTGGTCACATCACCAAGCCTTCATTAGTTCAAAAAGCATTTGGACAGTGCTCTCAGGCACATGGTGTGATTCTTGACATGTCCTGCACAGGGCCAGGAGTTGTACTCAATGATCCTCATGGGTCACCTTGTTACCTATTTCCCAACCTGGAAATGAAACTCAAGATAATTTTAGTACGGAGGTAATATAAAAGAGGATCTTTAATGAAGGCCTTCAGGGGCAGTTATGGAAAATGCCCTGTGAACCTATTCTCTCTGCCACATGCCCACAAAAATCCACCCCCTCCAGGGATGAGTACATTTCTGTAGGTTTTAGGAAATTAGCAAAATTGATAAAAAGCACTAATTAGAAGGACAAGTGGTGATGCAATTCCCCCCCAGGTCAAGCCCCTTCTCTGGAGCGCCTCCTTCAGCACTAGTTGTACTTTGTCCATGAGAACGTATCTCGAAGAGTTGTTCTCGGCCTTGGTTCCCAGGAAGAACCAAGAACCAGAACCACCGGGGCCTTGTACCCCCCGGGGCTTAGAGCTCTGGAATTTGTTTTGTCTTTCTGCTTAGAGAAAGGCCATGGAAAAGCACTGGGAAAACTATCTACTAATTCAATAGGTGACAGAGTTACAAATATATGTGTGAAGAACAAGGAGAACATAGGAAAAAAAAGCAAAGCCCAAATGGCATCACCCTCTAACTCAGTATATTCCATGAGTCTGCGCTCTCAGTAAAAATTTCAAGAAGCACCATCTCAATGAAGTTGGAAATTAACAACTGATGTCTTAAAGAATTAAGTATATTACAGGATTTCCCTGCAGACAGAAAGTGTTGTTTACTCTGCATTCTGTGATTTGTCATGAAAAAAAAAATTGTGTTGGAGAATAATTAAAAAGGAGATTTTTAAAAGGAGATTTTAAAATAGAGATTTCACCATAAAACAAGAGAGATTGTCAAAAGGTCCAAAATCACCAGCTCATCGAGGGAAGGCTGCGACAGCCAAACCAGCCAGCTTTTAACGCACGACTTGATCCGCCGTGCCAGGACCATAGAGAAGCTGCGATGCCGCTGCTTTAAGGACGACAGAGGAAAAGGCTTTACCGCCCTGAGCCCCTGGTCTCCCTCGGAGCTGCTCCCGGGGACAGCCAGCCCGCACGCCAACACAGCGCTCCCTGGCCCCCGACCAAAGCGGGGGACCCGCCGGGGCTGTTACCAGCGGCGTGGCCATCTCCCCCGCCCTTCCGTCCGCGGGACGGAGCTGCCCGAGCAGGGCAGGAGGCAGAGCTGTCCTCTGCGACATGTCCCGGCAGGACCGGACGATCCCGCCCCGTCGCTGAGGAGTTGCACCATCCCGGGGCAGCGCACCTCGCCGGCGGAAGGCGCGGCTCGGCAGGGTCCGGGCCGCCGTCGGGGCACGCTGAGGCTCCTCTGAGCCTCAGGGCTGCTCCTCCACTGTCGCGTCCCCGCAACATCTCCGCAATCCCGGCCCGCGCTGGGCGTCCCGCCCGCAATCCCTGCCCCGCAATCCCGGCCCCGCACTCCGGCTGCCGCCCCCGCCGCGCTGCCACGTCCCCGCCCGGCGGGGCCAATGGGCGGCGGCGCCAGGTGTGTGTTACCTGCACCACGTGGGCCGGGGGTGGGCAGGTGCTGCCGCGGCCCCGCGCAGAAAAGCTCGCAGCCATTGCGCCTTTCCCAGGAGTGCAGTTAGTGTGGGAGCGGCTAACACCCACCTCGGGGAAAAGGGGGTGGGAAACAGGGGGAGCCGTGCGCCTCCCCCACGCCAGGTCCTTGGGGAGTGAGGCTACAGCTGGGGGTTCTGCCGCTTGGGTCTCGCTTGGAAGCGCCTGGGGCAAGGAAAGTTTTCGGCTTCTTCTCTTTCCCCGCTTCTTCCTTTCCTTCTTTTTACCTGCTCTGCTGGCCCGGTGGCACGATGACGGCGTCTCCCGACTACCTGGTGATTCTCTTCGTGACCACGGCGGGCACCAACGGGGCAAGGTTGGGCTCAGACGAGCGAGAGCTGCTCCAGCTCCTGTGGAAAGTGGTCGACCTGAGGAGTAAGGAGGTATTTTCACCCGACGGGGGAGCACCCCGACCTGCTGCTCCCCTTGGCGCCTGCCATGCTGGATGCGGGCAGGGCGGTCTCGGCGCTGGGCTGGTAGTGGGTGTCCCAGGCTGGAGCAAGCTCTGGTGGAGGGTAGGGGCTGGTGCTGCAGGTGGGGACTTTCAGCCCGGAGAGCTGACTCACCCCCTCCTCTGCTTTCTCTGGAGCTGGGGCACCTGCATGACGTGCTGGTCCGGCCTGACCACACAGAACTGACGGCCGAGTGCCAGGAGATCACCCAAGTGGATGTGGAGAGCCTGGCACTGGCTCCACCGCTGGAGCAGGCACTGAGACAGGTGACACCCCATAACTGGCCGCTAAGTGCCGTTCTCCTTTGGGAGTTCCCCCGTGGGGTAGAGGTGGTATCATCGTCTGCTTATCCCCACCATGAGAGCAGTGGAGCCTGGTACAGGAGCACCACAAACAAGTGTGGGCCAGGAAGCCTAGGGCTTTGTGGGCCTTTCTCCTTTGCCTTTTCTTTATTGGCCTTGGGAAGAACTGAACCTCAAGGGAGGAAGGTTAGGGTTAGCTGTTTCCCTACCCCACTCTCCTGCCATGCTGGCTCCTGAGTGAGTTTCAGCTGAGGGTGAGCCCTAATCAGTGTTGGAAGAAGCCAGACTTAGGTGTCCCCTGTTAAGGTTTGTGCTCATCAGTCCTGGGACGGTGATGGTACTGAAGCCTCTAGGTTAACAAGGAAGTGTGTGTGATTCCTATTGAGGAAATCAATGGGCTGAAAGCCTGTCTTTCTGATATGTTTGAGTGCCCCATCTAAAAAGCTCTTCTGCCCCAGTACTGCCTCAGGTCTTTGCAATCAGCTTTGTCTCATTGCAATGCTCTTGCAAGTCTTGAAAAGAATTTTCTTCTGTGGTGTGGGCTGTCTGTGTAGCCATATCTCATTAGAAGGGGGAAAGGGGTGGTTCCCATCTGAAGAGATTTATCATGGAAGTTAACCTGTGCTTAGCTAGTAAGAAACTAACCTACAGATGTGAAGGAGTAAATTTATATGAAAAAGAATTCCAGCTCTGTGTTCCTGCTGCCCAGGAATAACACATTACCAACTGATGACACTGCCTAGTGGTGCCACTCTGATCTCTGTAACATATATGTTTTTTCTTGTTCCTGCCAACAGTTTAATCAGTCCGTGAGCAATGAGCTGAACATTGGTGTAGGTACTTCTTTCTGTTTCTGTACTGATGGACAGTTGCACATTAGGCAGGTTCTACACCCTGAAGCTTCCAAAAAGGTATGTAGTTGTAGCTTAAGTCTTACTCTTAATGTGCTTTTTAAATGATTTTTTGCAAAGCAAATCAACTTCTCTCTAGTATGAGGGTACCTCCACATAACTGTAGCACAAACATTGCTCGTATGTAATGTGCTTACGAGGCTAAAGAGCCTGTCTGTGTGGAACGTACACATAGACAGGGCATATACAGTGCCCTGTCCCTATGTGGTCTTGAGATGCCTTTTTAAGTTAAATCAGAAGGAAGACGCTTTTAAATGTTTGAGAAGGGAGCAATGTATTGACAGTACTTGTAGCTTCTACAGAGTTAACAGGTGGGATGTGGGATTGTTGCTAAATAATTAACAATCTTAACCATAAACTGTTTTTAGAAATTTTACATTCATGCCTAGTTATAGGAACTTTCAATCTTTGGGTATTGAGTTGACGCTCCAAGGGCGGTGCTCGTATTTGTAAGGAGCTGAACAGTAGTGTGATGCAGGCTATGAGTGATGATTAGTTCTGTAGTCTGGAGTTTTCCATAGCTTCAGAGTTGCCAAATCACTAACAGTGTTATGAAGTCCTGCCTACTTTTCGTTAGTGATAGGGTTGCAGCAATATGTGAGTCTCTCTGGTTCTGAAATAACTGCCTCAATATTAATAACACCTCATTTTGTGGTTTGGTATGAGCATGCACTGCTCTGTAACTGAGCTGTTCTGCTCCTCTCATTGTACCTGACTTCTCTGCCCATCAATTTGCTGCCCCGTCTTTCAAGGGACACTGCTGCAGGTCTGTGCTGTTACAAGAGTGATACTGAATGAGCTTGTAGTACAAGTACAAGGTTGTAGTACTTGTTTGTGCTTTAAGTATTGATAAATTTGAAGTCTTAGAAGAGGAACAGTGAGCACTATTCACAGTGAAGGGACAGTTCTTATATGTGTAACTTGCCTTCTATGACCTAAAACATGAGAAAATGTGGAAACAGGTTTTTAAAAGGCTTTCTTCTTGCTAATAAAGTAAAACTTGTTATCCATTTAAATTATGTGAGTAAAAGAAGGGACACATCCTGCAGTTATTTTAGTTGGTTTGATGTCAGGGATCCTTTTTCTGTATCATAACAGGGTCACAGACAGGCATCAAATCTTTATCAAAATCTTCTGTTGCTGTTTTGTTAAGAATGTTTCATTTGAAATTTGCTTTGTGCTGCCTGTAGATTAAGTAAACTAGATGCTTATGAAACTTGTAATAGGTTTTTGAATATCCTAATGCAGGGATTGCAGTGTGGGATCACTAAGGTCCAGATAGGCAGAAATCTCTAGGCTCTTGAAGTTATTTATTTCTAAGATATCTCTTCTGAAGCCATCTAGCAACTCCTGGTATTCAGAGAGTAAATTGGCATCAGCCATTCCAAAAGAACATAAATGAAGTACAGAACTTCATTTCACATCAAGGAAGAAAATCATGCTAAATCTAGAGCAGGAAATGTTGGCAAGCCCATCTGCATTTTCATAAGTCTTTAAAGAGTATCGTTTGCCTAATACACCTGTCCATATGCTAAGATAAACTCTGATGTTCTCAAAGCAGAATTTGTTTTAGAGCCTGAACTGTGTTCTTTGGGCTCCCAAAATGTGCTTTCACATAGGCTGCTATCTGTTATAATGCCAACATGCTAATTAGTTGTTAAATCCCAGAAAGCCTTTATCTGCAGTCTGGAAAGGCCTTGCAGGCAACAAACAGCCAGAAGGAATATGTAGTATTCTGTCTGGGGTGAAGAGCTAGCTGAAGGAGTAAGGGTTTGCATTGGCTTTAACAGCTTGCCCCCAAGACTTCTCCATGTCTTCTCCTTTCCACTCCCAAAAAAATTAGAAGCATGTGGTAGATGCAGTGGTGGGGCAATAAGAGATTCATTGACTTCTAGTGGGCTGCATAACTTGCTTCTGGCTTTGTATGGTGCAGTTAAAGCAGTTACCATGCATAGGCTGACAACCTCTGCACCATGTCAAACCCTCTTCTGCACAGTAGATTTTTTTTATTTGTTGGAAATAAATATTTGAAGTGTGACTCTTCTCTGAAACCAGCCTTTTCTATAAACTGTCTGCTGGTCTTGCAAAATTTGCTTAATTCTACAAACTGAACTGACTACCCTCTGGCTTTAAACAGTTAAAATTGCAGTCAAGAATTGATGATAAATATTGCAATAGGAGGCATTTGCTCTGCTACATATATATTGGATTTGAAGCTCTAGTAATAACGGCAAATGTTTCTCTGGTAGTACAAAAGCACATTTCTCTTATTAAAAACAGTATAAAGAGAAAGCTGTTTGATTAAAAAAAAGTTTAGGAACATACTTACCTGGCTATGAAGAGCAATCTGTAGCAAGGATTGTTTGCATTTCCTATCTATTCTAAAGATATTGTTAGAAAGTTTAGTATCTATACACAAAGTAGATTAAACTCACCCTAACTGACAGTGGTTACTTTGTTCCTTTTACAGAATATTTTACTGCCTGAATGCTTCTACTCCTTTTTTGACTTGCGGAAAGAGTTCAAGAAGTGTTGCCCTGGCTCACCAGAAGTTAGCAAACTCGATGTTGCAGCCATGACAGAATGTATCCTTTTAACAGTGATGGATGGTGTCTCTGCTGCTGTTAGAGTCTTGGCTGAATTTTAGGACAGAGGTGTATGAGTAATGCTTGCAACACATGTTTAGGGGTGGTATAACTTTAATGAGTGACTTGGAGCTGTACTTAGTTTTCTCACAAAGATAAAGATAAAAGCATATGAGGATTAATGCTTCTATGGAGAAAATCTTGTATTTCTTCTTGATTTCTGTATGTTTTCTTTGCCATCTTTATATTCATCTCACACTAAACTGTGAAGTTTAAAGAAAGCGACACTTTTTTTTTTCCGGATTGCTGTTGTGAATTGTAATATTAAAGTTTAGGTGTTGAGTTTTATAGCATCAGTTAGATTTTTATTTTATTTTAGGGAAGAGCGAATGTTGGGAGACCACCTTAATTTTCAGGAGGAGATGGTTATTATTGGTGTGACCTAGTGGTAAATATCTAACACAGGGATACTGTTGCAACATGTGGTATTCAGTCTCATAGAAGGTGCACATGCTACACCTCACAGGGTGGTGAGGCTTGGCTGGCACCAAGATGCAGTCAGTAGTATGTTTCCATTTTCAGTGATAGGGATGTCTAAAACTGCATTCTGAATAGTCTGAAGGGGTCTGTAACCCCATCCTGTCTGGCTCTTTCCTAGTCTGAACTTGAGAGCTGAAGCTGTGATTTGGCCATGCCTTCTTCCCTAGCAGTCTCTCCTCTTGGTGCAAGCTTCAGTCCTTATCCCAGAAATATTCTTGGACACAGAGCTATTGAAGTAGTGGTCCCAAAAGTCAGGTATCAAGGAGGAATAAAGGAATTTGTCTTTGGAAAGGAATAAAGATGTTTGTCTTTGGTATTGGTGGTTGATGTTGCTGCTATTGTTTTCATTAACTTTTCTTCTGACTTGCTTATTGTGTCCATGGAGTGGTTGCCATTAAGAGGTGATGTCTGTGGCTTCAGAAATTTTTGGGCTTTCACTGCAGAAGTAGTATTGCCTGGGCTTTGTACCTGTTGGGGGCATAAAATATGGGGGTGGATTTCTGTGTTTAACCATTCTGCTCTGCTTTAGCTGCAAATTAAGATTAATCTCTGCTAATGAAGGGACAAAAAGTTATTTCTCCCCATATTCTGAAGGAAGGCAGTACACTTCAGAATAGAAGATTCTGAATCTTTATGAAGAAAAGTGAAATAAATGCTGTGGTGCATTGAAACTCGATGATGGAGAATTCTTAAATTTATGGTCAAAAACTTAATACATTGTTTAAGGAATGCTTTGACATGATCTGGAGAAATTAAAGACAGTGAGCTACTTCAGCTGTTTCAGAGAGTTGCCCTTATTTTCTCCTTATGTGAATGTCTGGGGTATGCCTTTCCACTGTGGAAGGAGTTGTATGACTGTAGCTAGCTGGAGTGTCGCTGGTCAGCTGGGGCATGGTGGAGGACTGAGTATTCCCTGCCTGCTGGGAGAGGGAGGCAAACCACCCTGTGTTACCTGACTGTCAGGAAGTCTGCTGGTAGTCAGGTAACTGTCAGGAGTTAGAGTTAGTGCTGCCTGAGAGTCATTTTGGCAATTGCCAATAATATATTCTCCAAGTTCCTAGAAGTTTAGTTGGTCTATCCAAATGCATTCAGCTTGAGTCCAAGTTCAGGATAAGATATGGTTCTTAAGGTATATAAACCTAACTTCATTCTGGTCTTGTGTTTATTTTTGAGGCTTATTTTGTTTTGTAACTGATGAGGCTCTTATTTGTGAACTTGCTATGTTTATGCAACATGGTTAAAATCAATTGTCTCTCCCCTGTCATTGTGTGAGAGTGTGGCAGCAGAGGATGCAGAGACCAAAAAGTGTAAAACAATTTTTGTTTTCTTTTATTGACAAATATGATAATTTTCATTCTCCTCACCTTGCTGAAATGTATCACCTTAACCTCCTCAGTGTCAGAAGCTGCAGAAGTTAACTGCCCGTGTATGTGATGTTTAGGATAAAAAGGTTGTTTATCCTTGCTGAAATGTATCACCTTAACCTCCTCAGTGTCAGAAGCTGCAGAAGTCAACTGCCCTTGCAGACCATGGACGTGTATGTGATGTTCAGGATAAAAAGATTGTTTAAGCAGCCTAAAGACTAGTTCCATAAATTGTGTGCGGAGTTGTTTAGTTCTTCTTCCTTCATATAAGGCTATGCTGGGGTGTGGACACAAGAACAAGTCAGAAATAAGTACAGTAGGTTGAAATGAAGCTGCAGATTAGCACATAGAATCTGATCAAGCACTTTTTATTCTTGTAGAAAGTGCAGCTTCTTGGCCTCACAGCTAAAGAAGGGCGTATGAATCTTCCATGATTTCTGCCACAGAAACTATAGTGTGCCAAATACATTAGATTTTGGTGAGGATAGAAGGTTTTAGTATGGAGCTAACCTCACAGCTAAAGAAGGGCGTATGAATCTTCCATGATTTCTGCTACAGAAACTATAGTGATTTCTGCTACAGAAACTATACATTAGATTTTGGTGAGGATGGCAGGTTTTAGTATGGAGCTATGGTAATGACTAGATATTCAAGAGACCTGCATTTAGAGACTGGTAGAAGCAGGAGTAGAATAATTTTTGGGCTCAACCCTTCATGTACTTACATCTCTATTTATATGTGTATAGCCTGGTTGTGATAAGTAAGAGGAAATTTTTATGATATGAAGTAGTTAGGAGAAAGCTGGGTATTGATCTACAGTCATTGAAGTTAAAGTCTTCAAAAACTTTTGTTTTGATGGGTCACTTTTGATCAAACAACAAATTACAGGCAAATGGGGAATGTACACTACTGTTCCCGGCTGTCAGGGGAGGTAACTTCCTACTGCACAGTCATTTGCAGATAGACATTTTGGTATACTGCATACTGGATTGTAGGGGCTTGGCTATGTATTTATTGCAGACAAGGCAAGCACAATATTGTAAAAGAGTATAGAGATAATAGACTGAATAACTGGCTGGGTTTTTCTTCCTTTAGAAAGTACTTTGTGGACTTACTCTCTCAGGAGGCTACTTGGAATTTGTGTATAGCAATGAAACCGTGACAAACTGAAGAACTCAGGTGTAAGCTTTACAAATCTTTACTCCCAACCCCTGCAAGAAGTTCTGCATTTCACAACAAACAGCCACTCATTTCTTTTAGATAAAGGTAAAGCAATGTTTAAAATGCTGTGAAATTCAAGGGACCAAGGCAGAACTAAGACTAGTTGTAATTATCTCTGAGTACTACTGCTGCCTAACTCATGGTGTCAAAACAGTTCTTGTGTATGCGACAGTTTTCTGGCAGACTTTGTCAGAATTGTGTAAGTGTAATGACAGCAGGACAATTATGAGAAATTTTGAGTAACAAAACTTGAGGGAAGTGATCATGTTCCAGCAGAGAAAAGGACTTGGGTTTGTCAACATTTTTTTTTAATGTGTAAGCATACAAAAGGAGCAGGGTTGTTCTTGCACCCTCTGTACCTCCCATACTTGCTACACTTCTTGATTTGCAAAGCTTGCTGAGCCAGTTTTTACCCTGTGAGTGCCTTCAGGGTGGAGTGAATAAAGCTTGCATGACTATTCCTATTAGGTTTGCAGAAGACTCATCCTTTGCCTCGAGATTGGGTGTGCAGAAGCTATTAAATGGCAAATAGCTCTTGCTTCCTTCAGTGCTTGGTTTGCTCCATTCACTTCTGAACTGGATGTGTGAGGATAACTTCTTACTAGGAGTATTTTCCAGTGTTGTCAGTAGAAACTCAGGGGCACTACAGAACAGCTTGTTAATGCACTGGATATTGTAGTACTGAAACTTGATTTTTTTGGTTTGTTTTTGTATTTTTACCTGGGTGTCTTGGAAACAATAATGTGGAGCACAGTTATAAACAATAGTGCTTAACTCTGACAATAAAATGCCCATAATTGGGTATTAGGTGAGAATCTTGGATATTGCTATTTGTATTTCCTGTGATAGTACTCAGAAACATAAAGGTAATATAATATTATTATTATATTACCTTTATGCAAAGCATATGTGGAAAGATGTAATCTTCTGTCTAAAGGGACTTAAATAAGAAACAGAACAAAGGGGAAAGGATCAGAGCACAATTGCAGTGCTGTTTCATGTCATCTCAGGTTTAGTTAGTTATTCAGTGAGAAAGGAGTTGAGACAGTGGGAAGGAATAAGTCTTGGAGGACACTGGCAGTGAGTGAAGCTGTGGTGATACATCTGAGGAAATAATTTAGAAATTTCTTCAGTGTTAGAGAGGCCACCCTAATGTAGAATATACCTTTCCTTCCTGCTCCCTTTAGCTTGCTGAGTGTTGCAGGAGGTGGTACCACAGCTGCACACCAGGATGAAGTAATTCCTGGTTTGCTATCCTGCCTTATTTGGGACTGTCTTTTGCTTGTTGCTTCATTAAGAATGTACGTGTGGATGCTACTTCATATATTAGCTCTGGAGAGCCATGTCTGGTTTCTAACACTTCTTTAAAGGTGAACTTGCATTATCCCCTGTAATTGTCTTCCTCCAATTGCTCAGGAAAAGGATCCCTTAAGTATAAATGTACACAAACATGTGTGGCCTCCTATCCCTTCACAGAACAAGGAATATAAACTATTTCACTTATATTTTTTCCTAACTACCATAATTTCTAATGCTGCTGTCCATAGGTGTCTACCTCTGTGTAGTCAATCTTGATCATTAGAATACAGATTTTTACTTAGCATGTTCTTTAAACATGCAGAAAATGATCCGTTTTCTTCTCCAATCTTGCCTAAAAGCTGTGCTTCTGACTAATCAGAGGGGAAGGTGTGAGGTTATGCTTGCAATAATGTTGATGACTTACTTCCTCCCCTCCACTGTGTTTGTTTCTCTAGAGTTTGGCACAACTGACTCCCTGTGTCTGACAACTGGTACCAGCTTCTGTTGGCACTAGAGCATTTTCAGGAACTGCTTCTGCTGTGGACCAGTGTTTTCAGAAAACAGTTTCACCAAAGAAAATTATTATGGGGTGGGGTCCTTGTTTGTTTTCCTTGTCTGATGGTTTCTCTTCAAATTCCTTCCCTTTTCACATTTCTGCATTCCCCTCTCTGAATGCTGATCACTTGTAGGGATCTTTGGCTCAGCACAAAGGAAATATTGAAATGTCTTTTCAGTTCTGACAGCATAGTCTAACAGCCAAGCACATGTGTATGCATGTCCCCTGCTGGAATAGCTATTGAAACTCCTGCCCCATTTCTCTTGATTTTTGACAGAGGAAACACATTTCCAAAATCTTCATAAAACTTGGTCAGGCAAGACCAGGGTTCCAACACCTGCACCATCAGCAGCCTGCCTCTGGTTCCCTCAGAGGCTCTGCACAAGCCCAGTGTGGACCTGTTAGGTGCTACAGGGGAACAGTGTCAGGAAAGGGAGGAGGACCACTACTCTGCCCTGATACACAGGGTGCCCAGAAACATCTGTGTGGTGCTGCTTACACACCCTCTGTCAGAGTCTGTTTGTGGGTTATTTTTCTTTCCAGCCCCCTCTTTCTGGGGGCAGAGGAGGTAGTGAGCTTGAGCTTGTTTAAAGCTAAGGAAGAAAGACTGATTAAGAAATTTTTTGTTGTCATAAATAGTTGTAATCTCTTAAACCATGCTTTGGAGTTGCTCAGGCTTTTTGCCTTGGTTTTTAAGAAAACTATTTGCTGTTCACAGTACTTTACCCCAAAGAAGGTACTAGGAGGAGGAGGAGGGTAAAGGCAACGACTAGGAAACTATTTATAGTGAAGCAGTTGGAGGGTAGGAATCACTGGTTTAAGTATTCTGGTTTTTAAATAAGATAATTCACTTAAGCTTCAAATGTTCTTCTAAGACTAAGCATCATCCTCTCACATTCCATACTCCAATGCACACTTAAAACCAACAAAGCTTCAAAATCAAATTAGCCTGAAGTGTATTTTGTTGGCACAGCAGCTTTCCTTTCCTTGTTGTGGAAGAGGAATACATTAATTCAGTTCAAGTTATTTTTCATCTTGTAACAAGACAACTGTTACACAGTTTTCTAAAAATCTGTTTCTGTAGGATGTCTTGCTGTCATCCTACAAATAATAGGGAAGACCTTATCTCACAAAGAAATTTGTGCTGGCTCACCTGTTGATGAGATGATACAACAAAGCTGGTATGAGGTGTTTGTTTCTAACAGAAACTGTTCTGTTCCCTGCACTTCATGTAGGCATCTGACAACTCAAATGTTGCTCAGCTCTAGGTGGAGAAAGCATTCCTCTTTTAAGAGGAAACCTGCTATCTTGGACTATGAACCAACCTTTGAACAGCATAATGCAGGCTCTGGAGCATTTGAAATGTGTTTAATGTAGTCTGGGAGGCATGTGGACAAATAATTGGTGCTCTTGGCTGTTTTCAATGTGTTGCATTATTGTACCTCCATGCCAGGATGGATGTTGTTTAAGAAACTCTCACTTTTGCTCTGAAGTCTTGATGCTAACTGAAAGTGAGTAAAAAGTGCAACACTTATTCCCAGATTTCCTTATTTTTTGTTCTGTTCTTGATTACATTTTTTACCCTTCAGTCCTCAAAGAAAATGAGTGGGAGACTTTTTTTAAAAATTTGCTTCATAAGTAATGGAGTAGAATTGCAAATAATCTTTCAGTCCTGTAGCCTGATGTTGGAGAGGGGCAAATATGATGAAAAGCAGGAGATACCATAGTAAACTGTTTACAGTTGTCTGAAAAAAATGGTCTTTCTAAGGCCTTCCTGGGACAGGATGCTTCCTGCTCTCTATTGCAGTCATTTCCAAAATCCTTTGGTCTGAATCTATGGGTTGTGGGGCTCTGTTTTGCCTCTTGACAAAACACATGACTGGTGGACTCTCATCAGATTCTCAAAATGCTTCTGTGCAACAGCACAAAACTTGAGTTGTAACTTCTAATGGGCAAGGTTTAGACAAGGTGTCACTTATGAATTTTGTTGAAGTGGTAAGGTACTTGTCTGCTTTGGGATTTAGCTGGTCAAAAAGCCTGTGGAACATCCCTCCATTTCTGGAGCTTTTAGTTGATAGTTTGCTTCTCCTGCCCTAAATCTTCCTTGCTTTGGGATTTAGCTGGTCAAAAAGCTTCTTCCCCTGAAGATTAAAGAGGATGTTAATTAAAGAGAACATGGCTCCAGTCTCTTCAACATGCAGCAGTGTAGCTGTCAAACATACATATTGAAGACATGTCCTTGTTATGGGGTCTCATGTCCCCAGACACTCTCTAGTGACCTTACACTCCCACAGGTGGCAGTAACTAGAGGCCAAGGCAGAACAGCTAATGTATCCCAGCAGGAAGATGGATTGAATCTTCCCCTGAGAAGCAACATACAAGGACAACATGAAAGTGTGTTGCTCTAGCAGGAAACCAATTAGAAATCTGTTTGGTGATGATTGACTTAACTCCAGCATAAAGATTTAAATCTTGACAAGAACAGTCCAGCATTTCCCTATGGAGCCTCTCAAGTTGAAGATATGGGGAATATAATTTTAAAATTAATATCTGAACCATACAGTAAGTGATTATGATGAATGAGTTTTCTTTGTTCCTTCTTTGGTTTTACTGCCTGTCCTGTACGTTGACAAAATAGCAAATAACTTGTGTTGTATTTCATAGATCACAGATTTTCAGATCCAGAAAGGGTGAACTACAAATTTGAAAGTGGGCCTTGGTAAGTACTTCCTCTTCTTGTTGCACATGTTTCAAACCCCACCACTTTTTGTTTAAGATTACTGCTTAGATCAGCTGTACATCTCTCTTCCTAATTTGCCAATAGCTGTTAGCATTATATTTATTTACCTTCCCACTGCTATGGGAATTGATTAGATCCTTCAAGTGGGAAAGGGAGCAGGCAATCTATGATCAGATGCAAGCCTGTTTTCTTGTTAGATTTCAGTGCTGCCTGTTAGCTGCTGAGAGTTCTGTGTTCTGCTAATAAGTGCTTATAATGGGTAGTAAGTGTGTTGTGCTATTAACAAAGAATGTAAGCAGTGTTTCAGAAATAACCCTATTAGTTACTAACTCTTGCACTCTTCCTGCAATTTACTACATAGGTACTGCATATACATAATTGTTTTTTTAATAGGGAAGGAACACTTTCATGAAGATATTGTGCCAGGAATACTATGCTACCACTCAGTTGTTTAATCTGTGGTGATTCTTATTCCCAAATATGTTTTAAACATAAAGCTTTGATGCCTGCTTTGTTGCTTGGGTAGTTGGTTTTGGTTTTTTTAGTGTAGCTGCATTTTTTCTATGTGTAAATACAGATTTTTCTCAGTGGTTTTATCAATGATTTCTCTGCAATATCACAAGATACTAGTGTTAAACTGACCTTATTTATATTCCCATCTTACACAAACACTTCCCTCTTTCAGATTAAGGATCTGTCATAATGGTAGATGATGCTTATACTTTTGAGTCAAAAAAGTAAGAAAAAATGCAACATTGGCAGAAAGTATCCAGAGAGATTAGCTCAGAGGCTGTGTTCAGCCTTGATCTAAGCTTTTTTCTTTTCACTAACAAAGTTCTGGGATGAAGTGGAAGATTCACATTGTATTTCAGATAATGAGAAGTACAGAACTAGGAGTCAAGGGAGAACAGTTTGAGACAGACAGCTACAGAAAGGCCACCTGAGAAATTAAAATGTGAGTGAGAAACATGACCCACCAGGCATACCACAGCCCTTTTGTACAAGGGAGTCCTCTACTACTGAACAACACTTCATCTACTTAATAATTTAAGCTCTTTCGTGCAAAAAAGCTGTTCCTTCGATAACCAGAAAGGCAGGCTTGGGTAGCTGTGAGGTTTTGTTGAACTTGACACTTTCAAAAAATAAGAGAACAAAAGGGACTGGAGTAATGACCAATTGAACCTGGCTTTCTGTGGCTAAGCTATTCCCATGCTAAGCAGCCAATGTAACCTTTAGCTATGTTAGTCTCTAGTAGCACAGTGATGGCCCCAACCAGCAATGTTAAGGCTTGACTCTTCAAGCCAGAGTCCTGTGTGTGCTGAGTACAGCCCTGAACAGATTTGGTCTTGGCTTGTGACTGGTTCTTATACACTGTCACAGTAGAAATAATAAGCACTAATCTCTGTTACATCTAATTGTTCTGCTTAAATTTCTACGTAGCTAGATTAGAACTGCAGGTACTTGATTTTTATACCAGTCACCCTCTTTAGATAATGGAGAAGCATGAATGATGTCAGGAAAAGGAACTTAATTGGGAATATGATTGAAGAGATGACAGCTCAACGAGTAAATGTAAAAAAGCAGGAAAGGGGAACTTGGAAAGGGGCAACTTAACAAAGCAAACACTCTCTTGGAGAGACTTGTACAGTAGCTTTCAATTGTTGGTGGCACTTGGGCCTCACTGTCTTGGCATTGCTATCCAGCAGACACAGAGCAGGGACAGAAGCCTGTTCCTGGAGTATAAATGACAAGCAGACAGGTTGGTATGTGGCAGATGTCTCTGCATTACTACTTCTTTCTGTGCCTGCAGCAGCAAGATGGAGCTTGTGGATGACAATGCTGTTATCCGAGCAAGAGGATTGCCGTGGCAGTCATCTGACCAGGACATAGCAAGATTCTTCAAAGGTCTAAATATTGCCAAGTTAGTAGTGAAGAATGCACTTGTACATTTGTAGCTCTTCAGCTGTGTAGGTCATGGAGTTTCATCTCTTCATTTAAATCTTGCAGAGGAGGTGCTGCGCTCTGTCTCAATGCCCAAGGCAGGAGGAACGGGGAGGCTCTTGTGAGATTCGTAAGCGAAGAGCATAGAGATCTAGCACTACAAAGGCACAAGCATCACATGGGGAACCGATACATAGAGGTGAGTGACATGGTGGGCTTTGAAATCCTCTTCTCAAAATGAATACAAATTACATGCCAATCACATGATCCTTTTTTTTTCCTTTAGGTATACAAGGCAACAGGTGAAGACTTCCTTAAAATTGCAGGAGGTAATTTTTAGGGGATGAAAAGGGATGGTTTGTTCCATCAGCATCTTTAACTTTTGGCTGCAAACTGCTCCTGTTGAGTGTGGCCCTTTTTTCTGTCTTTGAACAAGAAGTTGGCTGGTGTATTGATTATTATGTGTTCTGCTAGCAACAGTTCAAGGTGTTCCATGATTTATCTGTCTGCCTCTCTTCCACATTCCTGCCATTTTCAAGCAATCTGTCAATTGGGATTTGATTGGACAAAGTGATCTTGTATATGAACTTAATTTTTAGGTCATCTTCGTGATAGTGGGAATCTAAATGCTATTGATTGCTGAAAAAATGAAACCAGAGTAGTTTTAAAAACAATGTAACTGCTGTTGCTGTGGAGGCTTGCACATAAACAGATATCGCAGTGTAAATACAATGGATTTATTGAACTGATTTTCTTCAAATCAAATCTTTGCCTCAGACTTAATAGGGAGGATTTAGAGGAAATACTTATTTAAGGGGAATCTTGAAATATTTGCTGATAATTGAGAGGATGCAAAATTTGCTCTTCAAACTCTCTCTTGATCTCTTTTCTTTCCCCTTTGTCTGCAAGCATACAAAACTTGAATTAAGAGCCAATAAGCTGTTTTATCTGCAATACTACTTTAAGTTTCTCATTGCTTCCTGACTGAGATTTGGGCTGAGGCTTGTAATTTAACTGGAAATCTGAGGCTGAGGCTTCAGATGTGCTCTTAAGCTATCAACTGCATAGCAAACTGATAGGTTTGGAAATAATACTACTTTAAGTTTCTCATTGCTTCCTGACTGAGATTTGGGCTGAGGCTTGTAGTTGACTAACTGGAGATCTGAGGCTGAGGCTTCAGATGCTGTTAAGCTATCAACTGCATAACAAACTGAGAGGTTTGGAAGCAGTTATGCCATTCAGAGGAAAGACATTGCACAGTGAACATTCGTGAAGAATGGTGCGTGTGGTACAACCAAACTTTGCAGAATAAGAGAACTGTAAGTGAAAGGACTGTATTAATATATGAATTTGGTTAGCAGCTACCTTTGAATAAGGTAGTGTTACTAGCATCACTGGTCTTCTGAAGGTACTGAAAGTAGACTTATCAGACTGTGACAGTTCTGTTGGGATAGATGAAATCCCTGAGCTGTTCTCAACCTGCTCTTCCAGCTTTCTTTCCCAGCACAATGATCTGGGCACTTGATTGCCATATATTATGGCTCCAGAGTATGCCAGTTAGACAAGGGGCACAATAGCACAGGTCCCACTCACACAAGAGATTGTGATTTCCTTGAGCTTTGAATGTTGCAAGTACTTTCTATTTTTCCTTTGAATGAAGAGCAATCTCCTCTAAATGATGGGGTAACATTATTATACTTTACTGGGAGGTGTCCTATACAATATATCTAGTTTATCAGAGGGTTATCTTTACTGACTTTACAGGCAAATATTGTTCTACCTGTTCAAAAAACATCTGTGGAGAGGATGTAGCTATGCTCATGATTTTTATATTACTAGACTGAAGTGCTTCTGTATGTTTTCTTGTTAAAGGTACTTCCAATGAGGTTGCACAGTTCTTGTCAAAAGAAAACCAAGTGATTGTCAGGATGCGAGGTCTTCCTTTCAATGTAACAACAGAAGAAGTGCTGACTTTCTTTGGCCAGCACTGCCCTGTAACGGGAGGAAAGGAGGGAGTCCTGTTTGTCACTTACCCTGATAGCAGACCAACAGGGGATGCCTTTGTCTTGTTTGCTTGTGAGGAATATGCACAAAATGCACTGAAAAAGCACAAGGATTTGCTGGGGAAAAGGTACATTGAACTCTTCCGGAGCACTGCAGCAGAAGTTCAGCAGGTAGGTGCAAACCTTTCAAACACTGGCTTTTTGTAGTCCAAACTTCTGTGCTGGCAGTAGAGGAAGCAAATAATGGTGGGCCTTGACTTGAAAGCTTCTTTTACCTTTTCTCACTCTTGTCTCTTGCTGGAATGAGTATCGTCTGAATTTCTGTGAGACTTTGCTCCCTTGAAATGTAAGACCTTATGGTATAGGGATGTTCTCAGTCGTATACAAACCTTTGGGGTTTTGGCTTCCAATAGCTTTGTAAAATGTGGATGTGGGTCTTGTGCTTTACACTATATATTCTGAATTTGACGAAGTCCAATGATGATCTATTCAGGAGTGTTTAGCCACAAATCTTGAGCTAAAAGATTTATCTTTAGTCAGTGACGCAAAAAAGCAAAGCCTTTTGATGTAGTTTTCCTCTCCAGTGTAACATATCTGAAGAATTCTACAAATTGTTTTTAAGGGCATCAGATCTCTGCCATCTTCTGCAGGCATAGGCTACCTAGCAGGAGTTTGAAACTGATGAGTCTGGCTTAATAGGGCTTGTGGACCACTAATTGCAGCTAAGCTGTCAGGGAAAGGAAGGAGAGTTGAGTGGACTGTTTAAGTCTCCAAAAATATTTGCAGAGCTTCAATTGAGGTAGATACCTTTTAGAATCATGTCTAGCCATGTCATTGTATCCAAGAAATTATGCAGCTCTGTTCTCCCTAATATGTAGAGATTTCAATGCTTTGTTTAAAAGGTGACATTAGTGATTAGAAGGCAGAGCCACAGTGCTCCTTGTCATTGCATTTTTACTTAAGTACTCTCATATGTTTCTTTGTTTAGCAAAAACTTCAGATAGATTAATATTTATTTGCATTTATACAGCTTTCTCAGAGAGAGTTCAAGAGTAGTGATTGAATATTCAGGCAACTTTTCACCAGACAGTGTTTTTGCTGTTAAAATTATTAACAAGATTTCTCAAAGTGTTAAGTGTCACAGGTACTGTGACTCGGTAATGCTCCTAATGTTTCTTGAATGGACTATGGCAGGCACAGTTAGGGTTGTGTGGTAGTGAAATGTGCTTCTAGTTCCCAAACTCTCCTAAAGTTTTGCAGATGAGATATTTTTGGATAAAAGTGTTACCATGACTCTGTAGGTGGTAGAATGTTTTAGGATTGTTTTAGGATAGTTTCACAATAAAAATACTGTAGATATACAGGTTCCATATTCCATGTAAGATCTCTATTGAGACTTGCATTATCTGTTCAAGTAAATTTCCCAAAGCCAAACTGTTTTTCAAGAAAAAAATAACCCCAAAATTTTTTTTAAAACAATGGCATGACTATTTATTGTAGAGTGACTGTAGAAGTCTGCTGGATTCTGAGCTTAAAACACAACACAGTGCTTAGAAATCAGATATTTTACAGTTAATATTTGTATCTAGCTCATTTGTATCTTAAAATACTGACCAGAGTGAAAACAGGTGGCATTGGGATTATGTTTACTCCTTCTAAGTTGAAGAATGAGTAAGGAGGCTTCTGTAATCTGTTTTTGTTTTGCACAGGTGCTGAACAGGTACTCTTCCACACCTCTCATTCCTCTCCCAACACCTCCAATTCTTCCAGTATTACCTCAACAATTTGTGCCTCCCACTAACATCAGAGACTGCATACGCTTGCGTGGTCTTCCCTATGCTGCTACTATAGAGGACATTTTGGAGTTCCTGGGAGAGTTTTCTACAGATATTCGGACCCATGGAGTTCACATGGTACTAAATCACCAGGTAGGTAGGAAACATGTTCCTAGCCACTCTGCCAAGTGCTTGTATATATGAATACAGTCCTGATGATGTCCATAGGGAAGTACCTTTGGGAAGAGCAGCAATTGTATTAATGTGCCTCCAGCTCTCCTCTAAAAGTGTACTGGCAATAGATTACTTGAACCCTGCTGTGCCAGCTGCTGCATTTGCTGTAGAGCGGGTTCTTTCTGACACCTGTGTCTTAGCTTTACTGAAGGCTAAGCCAGTCTTGGAGTCATTGGTACTCCCAGAACAGCAGCCATGATCCTGAGCTGTAGGAGGCTTGAAATGGAGAGTCTTGCTCAACAGTGTGCATGATTCCTCTTGTGCCTAGTGAGAATGCCATCAAAACACAAGTGTGGGCAATGTTAGCTCTCAAAGGAGTGGTTTGTCCCTGCCTTGCTTAACAATGTGCCACAAGTATATTTGAAGACAAATGTGACTGCAGCCTTCTAGAGACAGGAATTCCTATGTCAAAAGTCAGAAACTGAAGCTTTGGGTTTCCTGTGTTCTTGCTTTCTTTAAACAGTCACAGCTAAGCACTAAGATTAACAGCTCATTGATGTGTAAAGTGTCACATCTTTGCCATTGTTTTCTGGAAGCAGTTTCTACCAAAACCTTTTAGACAAAAAAACCTTTTAGACAAAGAATTGTGCATTCTTGTGAGATTTATCTTTCTATTCTTGTGACTTCAGGGGGAGGAGTCCTTTAACTCCATGGAGATGCTCTGAGTGGTTCAATGGAACAAGCTGATTTAAAAACTGTATAAAAATTATGGTTCTAAAATTGTTGTAGCTTAAGCTGAATGCCAACCAAAACTAAAAAATACTTCCTGGTCCCAAGTAGGATTTCTGTGTTTCAGGAATATAGGGATGGAGAAGGGAAAGTAGTTATTTCAGTACCTGTCTATCTGAAGACATTCCTGTGTCTGTGGGAACTTGACCTAGACAAGGCTAAAAAACTGTAATGAATGTGTAGTGCTGGGAGAGACTGAGAAGTGCAGATATTAAAGCACAAGTAATGACTTACAGTAGTATCAGCCCTTGACAGCACTAATGAAAGAACCTGGATGAAGAAATTGGTGTGTGCACGTAACCCTAAGGGCTGTCTGCTACCCTTGCCCTGCCCAAAGCTATCAGACTTTTTTTTTCTCCCCAAATACTGCTTTTGCCTGACTACTAGATTTTTATCTTTCTCAAAGTTCCCAGGTTTCAACCCTCTAATCATAAAAGACTGTGTAAAGGATGCAGGTAATGTTGTTGTTCCTTCCAAAACAAGAAGGACTGGCCCCAGAACTTGAGTTAGAGCCAGCTTCAGATCTCTCTCTACTTTTGGCTACTTCAAATCAGCAACTGCATGTCACTGAAATAACTCCTCCCAGTGGTGTATCCCACTCATTTACACATATAAAAAGGTTTTTTTTCTTCTCTGCAAGCTCATACCAAATGTTAGGCTAGTTAGTACTCCACTAAAACATCCCAGCCCATGTTGGTCTTCAGGAAATAAAATTTAAAACACATTGTTTAGCAATGAGCACTTGACTGTATTTATCATTGAATTTTAAAAATCACGGGTAATAAATAGGGACTAGATCTTCCAATTCTGCATTCATAGTAAATTTGTAAGAGCAAGTCTCAAAGCACCAAAGCACCCCTGAATTAGAGTCTCTCCCATAGGTGTCTTTTTTTTAAGATATGAAGGTAAGAAGTTACAATTGTAGCTTAATCAAAACAGGTGAATAAATACAATCAAGTTATCACAAGTGGGAATAACTTTAGAGAGGAGAGCTTAAACATGCTGATGACTGTTCAGGATGACTGACTGTACTTGACTTTGGAGTTGAATGCATTTATGACTGAAGAGACTTCTTATAACAGCACAAATTATTGCTATGCTGCTTCTTCATGGAACCTACAGAAACATTTCCTTTTTGTTTGCCTTGTTTGTAGGGACGTCCATCGGGGGATGCTTTCATTCAGATGAAATCTGCAGATCGAGCTTTCCTGGCTGCACAGAAGTGTCATAAGAAGACTATGAAGGACAGATATGTTGAAGTCTTTCAATGTTCTGCTGAGGAGATGAACTTTGTATTAATGGGGGGCACTTTAAATCGAAATGGCTTGTCCCCGCCACCATGTAAGTTACCATGTAAGTTTTGCTTGGGTCTTGCCACTATGCTCTACACTGTGTGCGGGTAGGTATTGGAGCTGCTTTCCTAACTCTTGTCCTGGTTCTTGGATAGCATTGTGAGATGGGGGTGTTAAAATAAGGTCTTTTGTCTTAAATCATCACTAGCTTGCAATCGTTATTTTTCCCTTTGGTTGTAAATTACTATGACTGAAGAACTACTTTTGCTTTTCCAGTGGCAAATTTTCCCTCCCCTCCCTGAAACTTTAATTGGTTGGGGTGAGTGATGATTCTGAAAAGTAATTTCTAAGCCCTGCCTAGACCTTAAAGAACTGTTTTGTATTTTAACTGATCTATTAGTACTTATTTTTTTTTGTCATGGTGAACATGTCAAATAAAAGACCTACCCTTTTCACTTCCAAAACTTAATTTGAGAAACTATAGATAATGCTCCCCTTTGAGACTTTTTCATGTGTTCTGCCTTTTGAACTGCAACTGACTGAACTCTTCCTTTACTTTTTGTTATTCATATGAAATGGAGGTTGGCTTTGTGGGAGTGAGGCTTCTGCCTCAGAGAATTGCAGAATCTGTATTTCCTTTTAAGTTTTGATTCTCAGAGCTACTAGCATGAACACACTTCTAGGCAAACTTTTGGGGGAAATAGTTCAGGAGTTTAAGGACTAACTTGCTAAACATCTGTGCCACATAAATCTGAGCCTATGGGAAAAATAATACTTTGCTTCTAAAATCATAAATGGCAAGCTAGTCAAGTAGTAGCTTTCTTTGTGTCTCTCTATGCAAGTGTATTTTTTTGGTTGTAGATTGTTTAAGAAATGGCCTCTACCTGCTAGTCAGAGCTGCCAATACAGCAGCAAGTTTCCTTTGGAGTGGTTCCTTTTGAGCGCAAAGACCTTCAGCTAATCCTTGGGAGAGTTTTTTTTTTTTTTTTTCTTTCAACAAAAGTATCTTGAGCAGGGGTCAGCAGTAGATAGTCCTATGTGTGATGGCTGTTCCAGATGGGTTGGATCCTGAGAGCTCCTAGGACAGATTCGTGGGCAGAGTCACAAACTTTTGGAAACACACAGGTCAATATTCCCATTTCCACCTATAAATACCTGTGATGTATTCCTCAGATAAGGCCTTTTGGTCCTGTCATTCCACATTTTACAATACAGTGAGATGCTGGCTGTAACTCTGAATAGTGAAATTAAAGGCTTAGTTTATCTAAAGCTGTATGTTCACTCCTATGGCAATGACAAGGAGAAGAGTTAAGTAAAGGAGATGGGTGAACTCTCATCAGTAAGAATTCATTTAGGGCCTAACATCTTGTTGAAACAGCACAGAGTACACTTTTGTTTTTTTGGTTTTTTTAAATTTAGTGGTAACACTTCAAGCTGCAAAGCCATGACTTTTCTCACTGCTGTTGATTAATTAAGGGATAAGCAGTAACAGGATGAAAGTCTTCTCTCTTTTGTTGAATGTTAAACAGATCTTTGTCATGGAAGCTTTCTTCTTACTGTGCAGAAGTCTTGTAGTTCTTGAATGCAGACTTCATTAAAATCTGAGTCTAGACAAGCAAAACTGACCAATGTATCAGGGAGGGACCCTATTCCCAGAGCAAGAGGTGATTTTTTTTTTTTTTTTTGGTGTATTTTTGACTTTTCTGTAGACTGGAGGCTGGGTGTAACACTTAGTAGTCACACTGGCGTTGGTGGCTCACATTTCTTTTCTGTGGTGAACAAGGATGAGAAGGTTCCTGATGTACTGTGGAGTTGTGTGTATGTATGTATTAGCTCTGGAATTTCAGAGGTCCTAATCTATTTTCCATTTGCTCCCTGTAGGCCTTTCACCCCCTGCCTACTCCTTTCCGGCTCCTGCTGCAGTTGTGCCAACAGAAGCTGCTCTGTATCAGCCATCCATGCTTCTGAACCCACGAGCACTCCAGCCCTCCACAGCCTACTACCCTGCTGGGGCTCAGCTCTTCATGAACTACACAGCATATTACCCCAGGTAAAGCAGAGGAGAACCCAAGCAGCAACGAAGAAGTCTTTTTTTTTTTTTTTTTTCCTTGTCCACAGCAAATGCACAAAATTCACAAAAGAACATTGTCTGCTCTGCTAAGGACTTGTGATACCAAGAACAGCTTGTTTGGTATCTTGTTCAGGGAAACAATTTCCGGATAACTAGGAATTTTCCAAGTTTTAGGGTATTGCAGGTAGCAATGTCTGGGGGACAGGGAGGCTGGTTAGTGTGTTTGTTTGGTTGTTTTTTTTTTTTTTTTTTTAACCTGGGACACACATTTAAGTCCTAGGGATATTTTTTTTATTATTTTTGTTTCACCTATCATTCCTCTCAAACCCACTAGTTTTCTTTGTTATGCCCTCAGTGGGAATTGGCATGTGCAGTACTCTTTCCCATGTCCATAAAGAAGCCCTTGGTCCCTCTTTAGAATGGATGGACTGGGCTCTGCCTTAGCAACTTCTGAAATACTGCCTCTTTGTAACAAAGTAACTTTTGACCTTTATGATGAAAACTGTTTACTTCTATGACTATGTGTTGTGTTGAATGCATATGTAAAACATATAGAGGCATGTGTTCTTCCTGTCCTCAACACCTCTCACAAAGGGCTTTTGGTTCTTCTGGATGTATTAGCTATCTGCTACAGAACAAAATCTCTGGATACCTGTTGCCCTCTGCACTCATAAGGCCCTGGAAGGAGCCATGTTCCCTTTAAGCCATAAACCATTTCTCTGGTAGGAAATCTGCTGAACAACTCAAGTTTATCTCTGCAGCAGGGATCAAATAGCTACTTAGGAAGCTGTTAAACAATATGAGCACTTCAATACCTGTAAGATAACAAAGGTTTTCTTATTACTTTATCTATATGTCTGTGAAATGACTGTTGTGGATTTTTATTAAAATGTTTCCTTCACTCATGAGTTACTTTCTATAATGCCTTCAATATCTGTTTTATGGTTATGATATTACCAAACTCAGCCTTGTTAATGTAAGATTAAGAAAAATAAAATTCCAAACTTGCACTGGCAATATAAAACAAGGTTCTCAGTAACAGTTCTATATTTCATGAAAACATAGTAGCAGTAATAGTCTGTGGTTACTGATATATTTTACGTCTTAAGAATAGACTGGCCACTGCAGGCTAAATATCATGTCCTGGTGATTTCCCACGGAATGAGTTCCCACGTGAGTTTCATCACTGGCTGCTTGTGCTGTGGGCATATATGTTGGTCACAGACTGATCAGTCCCAAGCCCCAAAATACCCTTGTTATATTCTTGTCTAACTGGCAATGTTCACTGTTTTTAGGAAACCATTATTACATTATAGTTTCTCTGCCAATTACAAATACTGCTCTTTTAAAGAAAATAAGGAAAAAATTTCTGGACCCAAGTTGGCTTCTTTGTTGTGAGATTTGGTGTTTAGGTATTGCTTTTCCATCCAGAATGTTTGATCTGCAGACAATTTGTATGTACTCCAATAGAGGTAGTGATTCTTTGTAGAGGACGTTTTTGGGGTTTGGTTTGGTTTTGGTTTAGGTTTACATTTGGTTTTTTTGGGTTTTTTTTTTTTTGGTTTTTTTTTTTTTTTTAATACTTACTGCTTTTCAGGCAAATTCCTGTGCTTTATCCAGGATGCAAAAAATAGTCCATTTGAAGCAGCAATCAGAACTCTCCTAAATGTAGCTTTCTGAAGTTTAAGTCAAAAATTAGATATGTGCAGCAGGAAGAATAGGGTATCCTCTGTACTAAGTGTTCCATTTAAAAGCACATCCAGGAAAAGTAATATAGAGCTGGTAGGTAATGATCAGACAATGGTTCATAAATCTAACTGGTGAATATTTATGGAAATAAGGAAAACTTCTTTGAGCTGCTGCCAAAAGCTTCTACAGCTTGTGTTTTGCAAGGTCAAGTTGCTTTATAATAGTCCAACTCCATTTTCCACACAGAAATAAACTTAAATGGTGGAAAGCAGGGAGATATTGGTTTGGTTTTCAGTACCTATCAGATATCCTGAAACTCTCAGACTTGTATTAATGCTCTTACAGCTTTGGTGATGAAACCAGTGGTGTAAAGAAATGGATGCCTTCTAAGCTATTAAAATAGCTTCAGTGAATTCCTAATGAAAAGGAGGGAGAGCAAGTTATTCAGGATCTGTCAGTCTTTGATATCACTGTTCAGCTTGTAATTATATCTGGCAACATGTTCTGACAGCAAATCAGTGGTCTTGCTCTCTGCCTAGTCCCAAGCTTTTAAGAAAGAACAATAGGATTCGTAGGAAGGAGGAGTTTCCTTTATCTAATCCTAGGTGTACTAGGTGTTGTATGTACATTGGAAATAACTGCTCTACCTGGCAATTGCTAGCACATCCTATAGAAACTTTAACTGTATACAGACTTGAAAGCTATTGCTACAGGGTAAACAGTTTTAAAGCAAAGTTGAATCTTACTGTGTTTATTAAGTTCTGATGCTGTTTTTATCACTTTTAAGCAGTGCCTTTAAAGCCTCAAAAGTATCTGTCAAAATCTATACATGTAGTAATACATTTGTTTTTTTAAAAAGTATTTAAAATAGCATAGTGGAAAGAAGAGATTCTTAATTGTAGGACTTGTAGCCAAAACATGATATGGAAACTGAAACTTGGTGTAGGTTCAAACAAACTGGATAAATTCCACGACAGGAAATTCATTGTGAGTTAGTGAATACACAGAAGCCACACCTGGCTCAGGAAGTCCTTGAACTCAAAATTAGTGGAAGAGCATTCTTGTGTTCTGTCCCCTATGGTAAATTCTTGTGCTGTTGAACCAAGGTGGGTAGGTATAAACTTGTTTGTTCACACCTTTGTGGGACTTGTCTTGAGAGATACTGGTACTGCTTGAGAGTGTGGGTCTGTTCCAGTGTGTTTGTCTAATAGTGGCTAATCTGGGGTTATCTCTCTGTTGGGTCAGTGTGTACAGTTCTCTCCATTGGAGTGGTTTGAGTTAAAAGGTCTTTTTATGTGATAAAGGTATAATTCTGACACTTGCTGCACAGGGAAATATAGGGTAATGTCTTAGTATTTTCATGTCTGCTTATGTCCCTTCCTGCTCTGGATAAGGTATGGGTTTTCTCATCATACCTAGTAGAAGTATATACATCATAACCTTGTAGAAGTATATACATGTGCAACATACATACAGCAGTAATATTTATGTATGCATACATGCAGATGTATGTGTAAAAGTAAAATGACCAATCAGAGCAATAATCAAGGTTAGAAAAAAGTTTTACTTGTTCTCTGTGATGAATCAGATTCTCCATAATGATCATCATGGGAAACAAGTGAGTCTTTTCTAACCTTGGTTATTGCTCAGTTTCTTATTGAAGCACAATTAAGTCACAGGGAATTTAAAGCTGGCAAACCTAGGAACAAGTGGGCGATACTGTTCAGAGCTGCTGCCAGCAGCTTTGTTTACATATCTTGGTGTCTGGCTAACCAGCATCACTTGACAGAACTGGGTTAGGAAACAACCATATGCGTATTTAGCCTGGGAGCTCTGTCACAGATGGAGAACAGCAGCAGCCAGAAACAAAACCTCTTTTAGTTGTACTCACAGCATCACATCAACACTCTGGACCACATCTCTTGAACTCTTGTGATTTTGTTTTTATTATTTTTATGCTAAGTATGTCAGCTTGGATTGCTGAAATCACATCTGCAGTGATGGGATCACTGGATATAAAAGCTTATTGGTGGCTTTTAGTTGCTGTCCAGTAAATGGAGTTCAAATGTTTTAAATAAAGTGTCTGAATCTGGGACTCCATTACCTGTCCTTGTTCCGTTGAGCTGCTCTCCATTATGAATTTGTCAAAATAACCTTAACTCTTTAGTTTGTGTCTGGTGACACAAATTTGTCACCAGAATGAATGTTTGGGGGGACACTTAATTTTTCACTTTCAAAATAAATGTAGCTTGCCAAGGATTAGAACAGCAGGGATGCCTTTAACTACTACCATATTTCATTGGAGGAGGAGTGCATTAGCAGGGAAGACTAATTGTTGCATGCCTCCATAGGCTGTCATTATCCCTTCATTTGTAGGTTTTAATTAGTAAAACAGCTATGATGTGTGAAAGCAGCAGAACAGTAATGCTCTGATCAACAGCTATCTGGATATCAGGACAGTGAAATTATTTAAATTAAAAACCAAACAAACAAACCAGACCATTCTTCAAAGCTGGTACATCTGTTAAAACGTTGTTCCTGGTAGCAGTGTCCAAGTTTGTACTTAGCCCACCATACAAAATGCTGCCATGGAGATTGGTGGGGACTTCTTCCTTTTGTTTCCTTAATATACTCAATGACTTGATTTTCAGGTAGCAGCTCATACTGTCATCTTCTGACTGTTCCCCTGTTAACTGGTAAAACAATTGGATTTCTATGAGGGATTAATTGTTACAGCAGCATTGTGCAAGCTTGCTGCAGAGATCACTATCAGTATAGTTTTTCCTTTTGTCTATTTACAACACAGTTCAGTGGTGGGAGAGAAGATCTGCCTGTTGTGCCTGAAGGCATGTGTGTCATCCATGCAGGTGGCTTTTTAAAATACTTGCAATGATCTCAAATTATTCATGGCACCAAGGTACATTGCTGGATGCTTCACTTTATGCAGAAGCAGCCTTCTACAGGGGTGTTTTGGAAGTCCCAGCACTACCCAGGTTATGCTATTGCAGTCTTCTGTGGCAGAGCTTCTGGATCCATTCCCCTGTTTATTGTTGTCATGCTACCATGGCCTTATCCAGCTGGGAAGTTGATTTCAGTAGGCAGAGTGGGCTGCAGGTTATCTGGTTAAATGTGGGGAAGGTATCTGTATTGAAGGAGTTTTATTTCCAGGGATAGGTGGAAGAAGGGTTTTTTGAAGGAGGATGTTTCCAGAGATAGAGCTGGGTTGATCTTGGAATAAGACTTCTTGGATCTGAAAGCTTGCTTTTTTTTTTTTTTTTTTTTTTTTTAATTCTGCCTTGTGGAGTATACCATTTGTAATATTCCTCCATGATTATACTGTCATAGGGATCTAAATGTTTCTGTTTGATTAACAGGTGACCTGATGGTTTAGTGCTCCTACTTCTGCTATTTGTCAAGTTATACAGCCTTTCTTTCTTTAAATGTGGATAAACATTCCAATCTTGGAACAGGAAAATTATTCTAGCTGTGTAAATACTTTTGCTAGTAACATGTCTTGTTGGTTTTTGTGAACAAAGTACTGTGTTAAAGCTTTCAACTTTAGTGATTATACCACAAAATTTAGTATTAACTTTTGTTTGAACCACTTCTAAAAAAGCTTTATACTCAAGCTGCATTTCCTCATGGGCTGCTTTCCAGTAGTGAACACTATAGACATTATGCTGTAAGCTTGTGTATCCATGCACATTGTAATCATGTCCCATACCAGCCCAAGGAGTATTTGAAAATCCCTACCAGTTTCTGAAAAGATCTGCTCTTCGCTGAAGTCTGGGACCATCTGTCAATTTTTGAGTTTTTCTGAAGGCTACTTGGTAATGTGTGTCCTTTATTTTTTCTGTTCCTCCTCCTGGCTTCAGTCAGAGGATCTCACTTTGAGGTGCTGCAGAGATGCTCTGGCTCTGCTGATCTTCCTAGGCCTAGAAAAGAGGGGGAATAACTTAATCTTGAAACTCAATGAGTCTGACAGGTTCTCTTTCACTGCTAGTGCTCCTCTGAGTATTAGAGTAAGTCTTACTTCGTATCCCTAACTTGCAATCAGGACCTGTCTTACAGTCCTGAAATTAATAGAAGCTGTTAATCAGTACCTTGATGAAAGGATATTGTACCAATATCTGTCACAAAGCAGACAATAGTTAATATACTTCACAAACAAAAAAACTTTCAGGACCACAGATAAAAAATCCGAAGGAAAAATAGGGATAGAAAATGTGCAGGGAGAGAATTGAAACCTCTAGATGGTGTCTATGCACATATTTGTTCCTATGTGCAAATAGTGCTGGGTATGTTTGTGGTTCTCTTGAAGGACCTGCAAGATACTTGGCAGAGATCTGAAAAGCTGCTTGGTTATGTATGCTGACTGCTCCCAACTCACACCCACTTGTAATATAAACCACAGCTTCCTTCTGGATATTGGTATCTGTTAAGCAAATGTATAATGGAAAAACTTGTTAGAAAATCAGAAGAGACAGTGAAGCTCTATTTTCACATAATATTTTAGTGATGAATATTTGGGATCCCTTGAGGTGTAGAAATGCTGCTTGAATGCCAACATCAACCTTTAGAACATGTGAAAACTTGTTCATGCATCCAAAACTGATTTCTGAAACTTAATTGTTTTATTTTGAGATTCTTTGGAGAATACAACAATCTCAGAAATACTGATTGGAAAAATTCCAATCCTGCCTGTTGAAGGATCAGTTCATAAGGAAAAAAGGTTTGCATTGGGAAATGCTGCATATCATATTTGATTTCAAGTACTAGACAAATACAAAAAGAGTTCAAGCTCTTGCACTGCATCATTATATAGTGGTACACACCTACTAAGAGCCACTGTAGAAATTCTGTCTGGCCTGATGTAAAACATGCAAGTATTAGTTCCTGAGGCTTGTTTGATTAGAGAATGTAGCCTGGAATACTTGCCTTGTATGCCTGCCTGGACACTTTCCACTACATTTTCATGTGTCTTCTATTGACTTCTTTTCCATCTGGAGACATGACCACTCTAAGTCACTTGCTGTTGTTCCCCTGGGAGGATGTCACCCCTCAGACTGGGCAAACATAGAATTGGCTGGTAACAATCCATATTTTATCTTCTCTTAGAGTCAGAGCAGGTAACACCCTTAGCCTTTGAGAAAGGCTATGAAGACCTGAAAAAGAATATCACAGTTTCTAACAGCTACAGATTAAATATTTTGGGCATAAGAAAAGACTTTTCTTTATTACTCCTGAACAAATTATGTTATTGTGGCATTAATATTTCTTTAAAACAAGACAAGCCTGTCCCTTTGTGGCACTAACCTTTAAAATCTGGCAGTTGCCATTGACCACAAAAGATGCTGTGTCTAAACAGCCCATGAAACATAAGTAAATGGAAGCAAATACTGCCTTGCTGGCAGCTGTGGGGATCTCCATCCCCAGGTGTATTTGGCAGATACCGGCCTGGAGCTTGCATCCAAACTGTGGGATGGGCATATCTGCCATGGATTCATATCCTTACTCTATAGCTACATTTAAAATAAAAAGGTTGGAGACAGCATGTGATGACTATAAGTTCTAAAGCTGAATGGTGCACTGGTGGGGAAGACTTATTTTTGGCTTCATTGGTGTCATAAACTGACCCCTGGGTATTATGTTTGAGAATCTGAGCAGTACAAAGGTGTATTGACTGTAGTTTTTTAGGGATTAGTATGACTATTAATGTAACAGAAAAGGCATGCAGGAAATTATTTGTGGGAAGTGTTGTGATAAGTTTGTGTCAAGATGCTTCTTTACAGCATAAAGTCTTACCTTCCTACAGATGTCTTTTTTGACAATAGGCTCAAAATTGACAGAAATGATTACAAGTGTTGTCCTTGGCACCTGACTATCTCTGCTATCTAGTGGAACCACCAGTGAAGATGATGTCACAAAGGTACCCAGGAACACAGCTGTGGGGATAAACAAGCATTATAAGCAGTTCCTGTGGAAAAAGGAAAAGCAGCTTTCTTTCTAGACATGGACAGCTGTTCCCTGTAGAAACTGCAGTGTTAAACCACAGTCAATTTCATTCACTTCCTGAAACACCTTGAAGAGGTTTCTCTGAAGGGAGGTAATAAACATCTATATATTGTGTCCAGGAATGGCTTGTCTGCTGATTTACTTGTTACCTGCTGTGATGAAACTATTCCCTTCCATACTCTGCTGCATAAAGATGACTCAGGGCTTTGCAAATAATGGGAACTTGGTGAGGTCAAGACTGAAAACTGATGAGGACATATGCTTGGGGGCAAATGTGCCTGCTGGACTTGGAAGCTACAGAGGCACTCAAGAACATGAGCTTTAATTTAGGGAGGTGGAATATAGGCTAACACTGTAGGACTCGTGTGGAGGGAGGACTCCTCCACAAGGCATCTTAGGACAGTAGCCTTTGGGCTAAACTTAGTCTTCATGAATACCAGCTTAGCTAAGGATTGAAACACCAAAGTAAGGACACAAAGGGAAGACTGATAGAGCCCAGCAGAAATTTTTTTATGATATTTTCATAGCCTTGGGCTGGGAGAGCAGAAGTGGAGATCATCTGAGAGCTACCTCTTTAGTGTGGTTTGGAAAGGTTATCCCAGGTCTAAGGAATAGCATTGAAATGGCAATGCAAATGGTTAGGTTCTTGATGTCCTGCTCAGGAGATAAAGCAAAGTTATTGAGGTAGCTTTGAGCAAGTATGAGCTCTTGGAGAAGGGAGTTCTTAATGTATTTTTTTACTTTCATAAAATTATAGAGTAAATAAGAGAAGCCAGTGACATCCTTCAGTATTAGCACAACTTCATGGGTAAGTAGTGGTCTGTGCAAATCTATTTAGTAGTGAGCATGTTAACTTTTCCTTCAGAGACTTTGGGCATGTGTGGCTGTGCAGGAGGTGTTTGTCTCCAGGGACAGTCTCTTGAGGTCAGTCAGTTGGGGCTGCCAGAGTCTGGGGACAGTGGTCTCCCAACAGGATCCTGTGTGTACCCATGTGTTGTGCTGTTGGGGAAAGCTGATTACCCCAGTGTTGTTTCTGTTGTTGAATTGCTCTTAATGCCAATGCTCTTAAACCTCCCATGTGGTGGGAGCATTATGAGTGTCTGATTCCGAGCCTGAACTTTGACATCTGCCCAGCACTTTAAGAAAGGTTAAGGTTGCATAGCCAGCTGTTGGCTCTTTTCTGCATTAGTTTGGCTTCTGATTGCTTCTATCTTAACTTGTGTTTGTAGTATGCAGCAGAGGATGGACTTGTACACACAAATGATGCGGCCAGGACAGTGTCCAAAGAATGGATTTGCATTTAAAGGCCCCAGCAGTTAGGCTTCCTTAGTGAAGGTAAGGATAAACCCCAGGAGACAGAGTTTGTAGGTATCATAGTGTTTTATTCAGATAACCACCATACTCAACATAATTTGTCATTTGCTGCCCTGAGAAGGTGGCTACACTTTGCTGTGTCCTGAATGTCACACTGCAATATGTAAAACCCTATGAAAGCCATAATTTAAAGGATTTTAACTACTCCAGTCATCTTAAGGGCTGCTGCTTTGCATGTTTCCCAGGGCTTCGAATGCATGCTACTTCAAGCTTTAATAGCAGTACTGAGAGCCTGCAGAAAGCTTCTCAGAGCCAGTTTTCTCTGTGGAGCAAAGTGTGGAGATGATGTTACTCTCCTAGCAATGCACTAAAATGGGGTGTTAGTTAGACAGCATAAGCCACTTTCTTAGGTAACTACAGAATCCAATGTCTAATCTTCACACTGATGTAAAATTGCAGCAATGAAGTAGTTTGTATAATACCAGCTACTCTTTTGCTTTTGTGAGCTTTCAGATCAGGCCACTTCAGCCTTTCATGTTTGGTTTACTTGATCTTCTGTATAGGAGCAGTCAAAGGGTGAAGTCACCCAGAAAGCATTTGTGCAGAAAAATGCAAGTTGAACTGCAAAGCAGTGTATTGATGGACCATGAAACTTATGTTGTAGTCTCAGAGGAAGATGTAGAAATGTATTTGCAAAAAATGCTTTTGTCATCTCTAATCTTTGAAAAAAATACATAGTCAAAGAAGTGATTTGTTTTTAGTTGTCATCTCTAATCTTTGAAAAAAATACATAGTCAAGTGATTTGTTTTTAGTTTTTTTTTTTAATGCCCTTTTCTTTCCTCTATTCCTTTTTTCAGCTTTCCCTCTGAAAAAATAGCAACAAAATTGTCTGTTTTTTTCTAATTCTTCTGCTTTTGACACAGACAACTTAGCTCAGGGTGTAATCCACTTCCGGCCAAAACCTTTCCCTGCAGCATCACCTCACTGCCATCTGCTCCAAGTGTGTACTTTTGCATGTGTATAAGTGACCGTATCAGCTTGTTGTCTAACAAGCTGGCCTTTGGCTGGATTGATGAAGCTAAATCCTGTCCCTGAACTGACAGTCAGAGCCATAGTTAGCTGCTTAGTGGACTCCTGGCCTAAACTATGCTACATCACTTCCCATCCATTTATTGTGTTGCCATCCAGTGACTAGACCAGAAAGCTTCCTCATCCAGCTGGGAAAACTCATGGGGTTTGTCTTTGTTTTTAGGCAGTTTACAGCTTAGCAGTGCTAGTTGCCTGTGTTGGCCCAGAGACAGGAAAGAAGTGGCAGAAGCAGGCGTTGAGACATAGGAATGGCATTGCCATGTTGGACTTAATTTTAAAGCTTTACCTCCAAAGGTAAAAGGTCATGTAATAGTGAATAAATTCAGATATATTCTTAGTGTAGCACTCTTAACTTTAGTAGAAGATGTCATTAAAACTGTGTGTGTGTAAGGTGAAAACTAAAGCTTTTGGTTCATCTGTAAAGATTTTTAATTTAGGAAATCAAGAAATTAATATTTGCTTTTATCATGGTGTTCAGTGACCTGCACAACTCTTTCATGCAGATTCCTCTACCCTTTCTGATGTTTTGAACAATCACAGCAAGCCTAGATGGAGATTTTGATTGTTTCCAGCTTTACTGCTTCTCAAGCCAGTTGTGCTCAAGAGAAAAACCACCAGAACTCTGGAAGTGACCAGATGGATCTGTTACTGTTTTGAAGCTCATGCACAATTTTCAGATATGCACACACTGACCACTAAGCCCTTCACTGAGAGTACAGGCACTGAAATTGTGAAAATTCTTGAGGGTTTCTGCTTGATAAAGTATTAAGCTGCTCTTAACACAAAAATTGTTCAGCCTGAACCTACAAAGTCTGTTCTCTTTGGTTCTTTGAAATAGCAAAAAAGTCTCTTTTACATAATTTTGCACACAGTTTAAAATAGTTCTTTTTAATTAAAGTGTTTTACCACCTCTAATTTTGCATTTGACATTTTAATTAAAAAAAATCTTTTGTCTTGTATATATTTGTCTAATCTCTGCGAAAGAAGCCACTGTAAACTTTATATGCAGGCATGTTTTACACAGTGCAGAAATAATTAGGAATGTAAAATGGATTATCTAAGGGGAAAAAATGCTGTAACTTTGTAAAAATATGTGTGGGATGTTAAATGCTTTGTCTCTGATTCTTATCTTGTAGGCTTTTCATATTCACTCAAGTATTTAAATTTTAAAAGGCTTACAGGAGTAGGCATTTTCAAACTTGGATTACACTGTGTACTCAGAAAATGAGAAATGCAGTTCACCTCTCTCCTGTGGTCCTACTTTCATATTTCCACTTCATGCTCTCTCCACCTTTCTTGGTGTTTGACTGTCTTCTATGCAAGAAAAGTAACATGACCTGTAGTTACCACCCAGTGCCTTGCCTGCTCTAAGAGAGGGTCAGTCAGAGCTGGTTAGTTTGAGCTTGGTCTCTCTGGACTGTAGCCAGTAACCCAGCACCACAACTGTCACTCTTACCAGAGAAATCAGAAAATCAGATGCTACTCATGCTCCCAAATAACTGCTGTCTTTTAGCAGCCCTGGGTCCCCCTGCCTGCCCTGGGACTGGGCTTCAGGCACAGGAGTAGATCGCTGCACCTTCTCATGGCAATTAAAATCCTCTTTTGTGCTGAAGAAAGGGGGAAGGAAACCCTGAAGCAGAGATGTATGAGGCTAAAATTGGCAAATGAGATAGGTTCTTTGGCACGTTCAAAATAAATACTGCAGAACTGAGGAATACAGGCACTTTAGGTAGGTGGTGCTGTAGGAGTTTTTAGTTACCATGACCCCAAATCCACAGCAGTGCCTTGGTATTCCTGAAAGTAAGTAAAAGGGAAGAAAGAACAAAAGAGGGTGGTGGGGTGACAAAGTAGAAAAAGTCTTCCAGACAAAGCAAGTGATAATCTCATTTCTAGTGTCTAATCAAAAAAACTCCATCTTCCCCCCCTTTAATTCTTCCTTGGTTTTTGCCCTTCTCTTTCCTTGGTCCAACCTTCCCCTGATCACTCCAGCCAGAGTAATATAGATTTACGTTTTATCCTGGAAAAATTCATGCTGTTACAGTCTAAAGTATTTGGCAGGGCCTTTTTTAAAAATCACTATTCTGTAAACATGACTACATTGAACATGATTAATTGATGCAAGATATTTTAAAATGCTATTTCCAACTTTTCCTTCTGAGAAAATGTTCTGCCTTTAATTATGTAGCACAACTACAAATTAGTAGTTATGCAAAAGGAAAATTAGCCTATATAAGCCACTAGGGAAGTGATGGGGGAATATAATTTTTGCCTATTATCTGTGCAGGAATATCTCAAGTGTGCAAATAGAGACAGACAATGAGGGGATGGGAAGCAGTAGGCCAGAAAATGTTTGGAAATATAAATCACAAACTGAATGCAAAAATAGTTAAATGCTTTTGCAAAAACAAATTTCATGTTGGGTTGCACAAATGGGCTTCTGGTTTGGGATGCCTTTGTATTTTTCCAAGTATTCTCTGCAGTGTAACTGTCAAACTTCAGCAAAAACTTATAACCAACAATTTGCTCAAAAGCTACACAGTGAAGAGAAGCAACATGAAAACAGCTCCCCCAGGCCTGCTGAAGGCATTAGCATTGCTTAGTTTGGTGAAAGGAGGCTGGGGAAAGGTATGAGAACTGTATATTAAAAAATGTGGCTATGAAGAAATAAATTCTTCCCATTGTGCATGGGACCAGAAGCAAGGGATGGAGTGACAGGCAGGGATTAAGGGTTCAGAACAAACCTGCTCCTACCAGCAGTAGTTAAATACTGATCTGAACTGCCTGGGCAGGTTGCACACTCTCCGCCCTGGTAATCTTTTGGGACTGGTTGGCCAAGCACTTATTGAAAATGGTACTGGTATAACTGGTCCCACTGTCAGGCACAGATGTGGACAAGATGTCCTCTTCAGATGTTCATCTTTGTGATGATACTGCTTTTTTCTTTGGACCCTGTCCTCACATATTATAAAGTTAGCTGTACATCTTAGCCCCCAACTCAGACCATATGTATTTTGCTATTTTTCACAAGCTCTCCTATGTTTTGGAGTCTTTGTATTCTGTATTTTCAGAAATGAATTCTTTATATTCCTTTTCAATATGTCTCTGTTTAAATTCATTACAACATTAAATATAATTTAACCTAAATCTGAATAGAATATTATTTCCCTGTTATAATGTGTGTATGGTTTAGAAAGCAAATTAGAAATGTTTCCCAGAGAAGGGAGAAATGTGTATGTTCTGTTTTCTTTTTGCAAAATTAGTTGGTGAATCTTACAGCTCTGCTATCCCTTAATATCTCCATTATCTCAGTTAGGCAGGTTCTCAGCTAGAGGCAATTTTATTTATTTAAGCAGGAAAGCTTGAGACTCCATCAGTAAAAATGAAAGTCCAATTCCACAATGTAACTTTCTTGAGGTTAAGAGTATTGATTGAACTTGAGATGGGAATCTATCACTCATGTGTTTGAATGTGTAAAGAATTTCTAATATGAAGGTAACTGGAATTGATCTGAAAAAAAAGGTAAAAATATGTTATACTTTCATAAAGATTATATTTAAATTTATTGTGTTACATGGAGTAAGTTTTTCTTTCTTCTCTTTTTCTATGCTCCCACGTCTGGCCTGTTGTGCTTTTCCCAGAGTCACCTCCTTGGAGCTCCTCTCTGGAGCTGGGAATAGGATAAAGCTGGGCTGTGTCCCTCACTGGAGGGAAGGGGATGAGAGGAGACCCAAAGCAACCATCCTGAGCAAATGTCAAAGCGCTGCCCCAGGAGAGTGGATTACCAAGGGCAGGCATTGTCCACTCCCCAGCGTCTCCCACGCTCCAGACCGTGTCCCTTTGTGGTGCTGTCCTCGGGGAAGGAGCCTGTGTTTGCTGGGCTTGCCAGCCCCTCAGCACAGCTGGTTATTTCAGCACG